CGTAGCCCCCTCTGCCACTAGCGGCCTCGTACGTCAAGGGGTCATCAAGTCACAAGTGGGGGAAGGCGCGCGCTCCTCCAGCTGCACGGCGAGCTCCTCGATGCCAAAGAGGAAAATCGAGACCACCTAGGGGAACCGCGAGCGCGGTCTCGTCCACCCCTTTCGCCCGGCGGCGGAGTGGCGGAGGTTGCCGTGGCGGCAGGCAGCAGCGCGAGGTGGTTCCACGACGAGCCTGCGCGACGGACTTCGCCGAGTCGGGACTTTCGAGAGACGCGTGCGCGAGAGGCGCTTCGAGCGGCGCGCGCCGAAGCCCTCCCAGAGGCCGAGTGGCAGCAGGAGCAGCCACGCGGACAGGAAGCGCGCCTGCGATGCGGCGCCGCGCCTCTTCACGCCTCGGGCGTGCGAGAGCGGAGGGCCAGAGTGCATGCAAACGCGCCGTGTGGCGCGTATAGACCAGCGGGACTGGGTTGGCGAAGATGCGCTCGCACGTCTCACACGCGTCGCCTGTCACCCGCACGTCGTCACTCGTCTTCTACGTGAGAGTGTCTTCGGCTCACTCGCCGCTTCGACCGAGCAGGATGCACGACTTGTCCATCTCGACCTTCTTCTTCTCGTCGATGGGGAGCCGGTCCATGGCGGCCGAGAGGAGCGAGAGGGCGCGGAGCGGGCGGTGTGACGAGCCCAGCAGCAGCGCGGCTGACGCGTCGCTCGGGAAGCGCTCGCGCACCTCTTGGGCGAAGCGCGGCTCCTTGGCGGGGTCGGAGAGGTGCGCCCACAGACTGCGCGGGAACGCCCACACGCAGAGGCGCAACTCCTCGAGACTGCGGCGCGCGGCGTCGGGGTCTGCCACGTCCTCCGCCTCGTCCTCCTCGATCCAGAGCGTCGCCTGCCGCATGATGTTGCGGCAGTGCGAGACGATGCGGCCCCACGCCTGTCGCGCCTCGAGCCACCTCTGGTAGCTCGTGTTCGTGCGGAACACGAGCAGCAGCCCCAGCGCGGGAGAGGAGAGAGTGAAGATGCTGACGGGAAGCTGAGCACGCAGGAAGGCGGGCACTTCCTCGCCAAAGAGGCCGGGCTGGGTCGTCGTCGTACCCAGGCTGTCGTACCCAAAGAGCGCAGCGTTCCAAACAATCACCAGCAGTGCGACCAGCGTGACGGCAATGACCTCACTCAGCAGCGACCGAACGACGCCAGAGGTGAACGTGCCCTGCAGGTTGCGCAGCAGTCGCGTCTCGGAGCGGTGCCGGAGCCAGTCCTCGTGCCGGTAGATGGTGCGGCGGTAGCGCCGACTCTCCTCACCATACGGCCGCTTGCCCTGCTGCAGCGTCGCCTCCTTGATTGAGCCCGGCCGCAGAGCCTGCACCGGCGAGCACCTGAGCGGCAGAGGATGGCGGGCGGCTGGGACGGCGACGAAGCCGCGGACAAAAGCAGCAGTCAGCACATGCATGCCGCGCGTCTCGGGAGCACCCAAACCGCTCGCGCGCCGTCGCGCAGAGACGCGCGTTGCACGCAACAGCTGGGCGAGCTGCGCCGACTGCGAGCTGCGCTGACTTGATACATTTCTCTTTCCATCTTCTCCCCAACAACTCTCCCCCTCTCTCTCCTCTCTCTCCACTCTCTTTACCCACATCTACAATTTTCTCCAAAACCGTTAAAATATATACGAGTGATCGCTTCGTCCTGGGTTGTTCGAAGCTCTGCTGCTCCCCGGCGGTTCAATCCGCCGAGTGGCTCCCAGTTCGAGCCCGTGCAATCGTGCCCGAGTGGTCAAGGGGGTGGACTTGAAATCCACTGGGCTCCGCCCGCGCGAGTTCGAACCTCGTCGATTGCGTTTTTGTCGCCCTCTCCGAGGCATGGGTGCACACCCGCAACAGCTCTCGTGCGCCGCCGTCTTTGTCACACCTCTGGCCGACGCGCACTCGCGCAGAACAACAACAGCCCTGCTCTCAACATGCGTGTCGCGCACTCATTCATGAAGTAAAAGAAAGAAAAAAAGAGGGAAGGGAGGGATGGGAGGACGGCACGCCGCCACCACAGGGATTTTAACATGCGGCGGCGGCGCGGGAAGGCTGGATAGGCCGCCGCGATGGCCGGCAGTCTCTCGTGCGCTTGGCAGGCAAAGAAAGAAAGAAAGAAAACACACAACCCAAGGGAGGGATGGGAGAACGGCACGCCGCCACCACACAGGGATTTTAAGGAGAGGAGTGTGGTGCGCTAGCCGTCGCCCACCCTGGGGAGTCTGCCTCTTCGTATCTCTTTTCGCAGTCTCTCGCCGCTTCTCGCTGCAACCTTCATGCCACCTCGCGGCCGTCCCACTCTCGTCGGTCTCTCCCTTGTCACTTCCTCCTCTGTCGCGTCGTTCTCCTCTGCCTCGTCCTGCGACGCCGCCGCCTGCCGGTCCCTTGTTCTCGCGGCTTCTTTCGCCTTGCGCAACTCCGTCCTCCTCGCGGCGTATCCTGGCCCCTCGAGTCTATCAAGCTCCCCTCGCGCAAGGACCACATTTCTGACTCCCACTCCGATCATTTGCCTACACGTCATGTTGTTGCTCAGGTCCACTCTCTCTTCGAACACTCGTGCCTCTACGGATGATGCCGGCGCTGGGGTCCCCTTCGGGTGCATCGTGACATCTGACAACTGAATTTCCACTGGTTCGTCCTCCTCCGAGTCATCTTCCCCGTCCTCCTTCCGCTCGGCCCTTCGCTCGGTACGTTCGGTGTGGCTCACACAAAAAAGAAATCTGAGAATAGGGACTCGGACGGCGAGGCCGTCGTTGCGCAGACCTTCATGTTCCGATGCGAGTCGACCCTCAAGACTGACTTCCTCAAGCAGCTGATCCCCAAGGGGTTCATCAAGATGAACCAGCTGAGCGGCGTGGACGACCTGACCGAGAGAGACATCACGACCTCGATCACCATGACGGGCTCGACCGTGCGGACGATCGCCCTGACCATCAAGGCGGGAGTCGAGCGAGAGCGCTGGGTGGGAGAGATCGCCATCCCCGAGGCAATCGTCAACGGGCAGGTCAAGCTATCGCGCAACATCGCGATCCAAGCCTTTCCCGGGCTGCCGCGCTATGGCAACCGCAAGATGCACCGGCACGCAATAGATACAACAATAGGGAGAATAGAGCGCCCCAGCCCCAGACTTACGAGGACCGAACCCGCGCCGCGACAGCTGCTGCGAGGGAGGCACCATGTCCTTCCGATGCGACCATCCCTTCGACGCCAGCCGCTGCCCTCGCGCGCGCCGCCGCGGCAACCGCGGCAACACGGGCGACAAGGGAGGCGGGGCGGACACGCGGCCGGCGCAGCAGCCGCGACCGTCGCTGCCGCCGCCGCCGCAGACGTCGGGGATCACAATGTGACGACCAAAACGATCTTGGGGGCCAGGGTGAGACAACAGGTCGGGGTGCCACATGGGGCACACCACAGGCGTATTCTAGAGGGGGAAAAGAAACGGGGAATGAGGGGCCCCGCCACGAGAAGTGCGTTCTGGGGATGCAGAGCGTGCAAAGCGGCTAGGGATGAGGTCGCAAAAGAGGCGCGCGAGGCAAGGAGGAGACGCGGGGAACTGAAAGACTGGGACGACTGGAAACAAGAAGACAATGAGCCACCACAGGCGTCGTTGGCGCACATACTGAGCGGCAGCTGCGCTGGAAATAAGGAAGAGGCGCGTCACTTCATGCGGAAGCTCGACAAACACACAGCGAGGGCGACCCGACAGCAAGAGTTGAACGGGAGGCGCCGGACTCAAAAGACACCGCCACATTCCTGAGACGAGCGAGGGCAGCCTCCTTAAAGGCGAAAGGGTCTAGATTTGGGGCGCTCGCCGAAGAGGAGTACGACAAAATAGCACCCGTGATTGCCTGCACGCTACCCGCACTCACGGACTCCATACCCGAAAGAAAGAGAAGGGAGCTCGCGGGAGAGGTGACGAGTGAACTTCAGGTAGTGGGGAAGGCAGCCTCGATTGCCATACAGACATGGGTGCGAAACAACGACAAGACCAAGGCAAGGGCAGAGGAACGAGAGAAGAATATAGGGTGGATAAAGCGCCTGTTCACGGCATGGAGGGTGAGCCACACCGAACGTACCGAGCGAAGGGCCGAGCGGAAGGAGGACGGGGAAGATGACTCGGAGGAGGACGAACCAGTGGAAATTCAGTTGTCAGATGTCACGATGCACCCGAAGGGGACCCCAGCGCCGGCATCATCCGTAGAGGCACGAGTGTTCGAAGAGAGAGTGGACCTGAGCAACAACATGACGTGTAGGCAAATGATCGGAGTGGGAGTCAGAAATGTGGTCCTTGCGCGAGGGGAGCTTGATAGACTCGAGGGGCCAGGATACGCCGCGAGGAGGACGGAGTTGCGCAAGGCGAAAGAAGCCGCGAGAACAAGGGACCGGCAGGCGGCGGCGTCGCAGGACGAGGCAGAGGAGAACGACGCGACAGAGGAGGAAGTGACAAGGGAGAGACCGACGAGAGTGGGACGGCCGCGAGGTGGCATGAAGGTTGCAGCGAGAAGCGGCGAGAGACTGCGAAAAGAGATTGGCAGGCATCCCTGTCTACGCCCAAGCGGCAATTTCTTGTTCCAGCCGACGCCGAAGCGAGTCTTGTCCACAGTTGTCTCGCCGAGAGCCATGCTCTCGAGGGCTCCGCGCGCGATGCGCGGCCTCGCGCTGGGCGCGCGCATGATGAGCAAGCCCTCCGTCGCCGTCCTCGGCTCCGGCCCCACCGCC